AATAAATAAAACACTGATTGGCCAGTGGCCAGGCAGGAAGTATAGGCGGGACTAACAGAGAGGAGAAAGGAGAGAACAGGAAGACAGAGGGATTCACTGCCAGCCACTGCCATGACAAGCAGCATGTGAAAATGCCGGTAAGCCATGAGCCACGTGGCAAGGTATAGATTTATGGAAATGGATTAATTTAAGCTATAAGAACAGTTAGCAAGAAGCCTGCCACGGCCATACAGTTTGTAAGTAATATAAGTCTCTGTATTTACTTGGTTGGGTCTGAGCGGCTGTGGGACTGGCGAGTGACAAAGATTTGTCCTGACTGTGGGCAAGGCAGGAAAACTCTAGTTACACATAATACCTGGCTGATTACATTAAGTCCTTCCACTCTAGGAAGAGAAACATCATAGCCTGATGGGATTGATGTGTATTCTGGGTGTGTATATATTGCATTGCTTGCCCACAATACCTCAGCCAACACCATTATTAGCATTCCATTATTGCTGCTTTAAGCCACTAGTTTTATAACATGTAGTTATGAAGTAACAGAGAAAAAGAAACATGTAATTTGGTCTGTAGATTTGAACTGCTACTGTAAGAAGAGTTGTACAACATGTGGACCAGATGGTGTGTAGAAGCTTAGCTAATTAATCAATTAATGAATTACTTGATTCATTACCTGATAATGAATGAATATGTTTGTGTGCTGTTTGTATATGTGCACGTGTGGGTAAAGTTGCATTCACCTGGACACACATTCTCTCAGAGGCCAGAGAACAGCAGATATTCTGCTGTATAGTTCTCTGCCTTATTCCTTTGAGGCATAACTTACCAAACCTGAAGCAAGCATGCTGGGAGCCTGCCCCAGTGACCCTCCTGTCTCAGATCCTGCAGTGCGGTGGGTTACTGGCATACAAAGCCATACTTAACTTTTTATGTGCTGGAATTTGAACTTAGGTTCTAATGCAGCAAAAAGAGTTCCTACCCACTGGGTCATGTCTCTAGCCCCCGTTTAATATAAATTTAAAAGTTCTTGAGGACCAGGTTAGCAGAAGTTAAGATTCTAAAGTAGGATATTGATGAGGGATTAAGAAAGATTAAGGAAAGTATGACTGGAAGCTGGAAGAAAAGATTCCTACTACATCGTATGAGAAATTTAAGCAATATTGTTTCATATTGCAATATGGAAAATAGAAAATGGATCCAATGAATCTATTGATTGAACTTAGGATGTTTCCAGGGAGAATGTGTTTGCCTTGTTGCCTACTACCAAACACAAATAGATGAAAAAGGACACTTTCAATTTTGAGCATAGTTTAGAAGAAACACATAGGATGAAGACTTTTCTGGATTTGATATAAACATTTTTTATTTCAAACCTCTCTACCTGGCAAACAACCATCAAAATTAGAAAAGTTATAGAGCAAATATCAAATCCAAAGCAGTGATGGATAAATAGCATGGTCTGAAGAAAACTGAAAGGGTGTGGTCTATGGTGTTTTCTCAACACAATTAAGATATATATTCTAACCAAAATATTTTGAATTTTGTTACAGATTTTAGTGAAAGACGGGAGACAGACAGGTAAGCGGATATCTACAATTCAGTATGACAGGGATAAGTGTGGAATTCTATGGTAGTGTTTAATAGAGACATGGGCCTTCCTTGGGAAGGAGGAAGACGCTAGGATAAGGCTTTCCAAGGAGTATGCATCAACCAAGCCAACCTTGAGAAATTCACAGCAGTTGTGGATCAGGTAGATGTGAGCTGAGGGAGGAAATGATTTTAAGTGCTAAGAGCAAAGGATGTTAAGGAAGCTCTCAGCAAAGTCTCCTAAGAAGGTATGCAACACCCTGGGCATGACTTTTAGTGGCTTCCCCCTTTGTAGGACCAAATGGTATTAACAGGCTATAGAGATTCTATTTTAAGAGTTTTTTTAAAAAATAATAGAATGAAAAAAAACAAATGAAATGGAGAGAATGTTATAGAGAACTTTTATGTACTTAACTTAAAAATAATCACACTCATGGCCAATCCAGTTTCATTTGTTTGTCTCCTTCTCTATTGTATTACTTTAAAGCAAATTATAGGAATAAATGATTATAGTGATATTGTGTTTCCCAATATATTGTGCACTTTAATAAACTTATTTGCAGTCAGAGGACAGAACAGCCACTAGATAGACATAGAGGCCAGAAAATGGTGGCACACGCACCTTTAATCCTAGCATTCTGGAGGTAGAGATCCATCCAGAGCTCTGTGAGTTCAAGGCCACACTGGAAACAGCCAGACATGGTGACACACACCTTTAATCCCAGGAAGTGATGGCAGAAAGCAGAAAGGTATTTAAGGTGTGAAAACCAGGAACTAGAGCTGGTTAAGCTTTCAGGCTTTTGAGCAGCACAGTTCAGCTGAGATCCATTTGGATGAAGACACAGAGGCTTCCAGTCTGAGGATTCAGGATCAGCTGAGGAATTGGCAAGGTGAGGTGAGCTTTGGCGTGTTCTGTCTTTCAGCATTCACCCCAATACCTGGCTCTGGGTTTGTTTTTATTAATAAGACCTTTTAAGATTTGTGCTGCAGATGATTTTTAAAATTAATGTAGTTTTTGCTATTTTATTTTAGAGATTATAATATAATTATAAGATTTATCCCTTTCCATTTTCTCCCTACAAACCTTCCCATATTCCCCTCTTCACTCTCCCTCAAATTCATACCTTTTTTAATGAATTGTTATTGAATGCCCACATGTATATGTATATACATATATATCTAAATGTAACTTGCTCAGTTCATACAGTGTTACTTTTATGCACATTTCCAGGGTTAACCATTGGTACTGGACAACCAGTGAGTGGACATGCTCTTCCCTGGGGAAACATCTCTTCTGCCTTCAGCTTTCCTCGGGTGCATATAGAGCTCTGTGTTGGGTTGAGACCTTGTGGTTTCTTATCCATTCAATTTGGTATGTTCATTGGTGTCATCCTTGTTTAGCTCATGCTTGGGCAGTCAAATTGGTGAGACTTTATGGGTGTAGTTTTGATATTACTAGGATACACAATCTCACAGCAAATTCCCTGATCCTCTGGCTCTTACAGTCTATCTACCTCCTCTTCTGGAATGTTTCCTGAACTTAGGTGTGGGAGTTTGGAGAAGTATCCATTGGAATTGGGCTCCAAATCTCTGGGTTTTGATTGGTTGTGGTCTTCTGTAGTGGTCTCTGTCAAAGAGAAGTTTTGTTGATGAGGGGTAAAGATTACACTTATCTGTGTATACAGACTTACAGATTGTTGTTAGGGATTATACTAGTTTAGTAAATTAAAGGTTGTAGATTCTCCTTAACTAACAATGACTTCACTAGCCATGGGTGGCTCTCTAGTTTTCCTGTACCAGGCATGGGTTCCTTTGTTGAGTGGGTTCTAGGCCCCTTAGGGAGCTATTGGTAACTGCCGAATTATGTATACTACTAGAGCAGCCTTAGGGGTATCGTAACATACTGGATATTGGTATGGTTTGTACACGTCATAGCTGGCAAGACTGCTGTTAGCCTTTCTTCTTTGAAATCTTTGAAATGGTGCTTTCTGGTTTTAAAAGTTTTTTGATTTTTTTAATCACAAAATTAGATAAAAACAATTAAATAGAAACAAATAAAATGGAGGGAATATTAAAATAAACTTTCATGTACTTGACTTCAAAATAATAAAGCTTATGGCCAGTCTTATTTCATTTGCTCGCCTCCTCCCATTAATTAAAATAAATTATAGTCATTAATGATTTTTTAAAAGATTCATCTTTTAATTTTATGAATCTTTAAAACTTAATAAAGTTTTGTATTTTAAAATATCTTTTTTTCGACACCAAATCTTTCCAGATCATTTCTCCCTCTACCCACCAACTTCATGTTCTTTCTCTCTCTTAAAAACAAAACAAAAAAAAGCACACACACACACACACACACACACACACACACACACCTCAAAATGTGAAATACAATGTATATTGGCTGACTACTTCTAAGTGTTAAGGTTTTTTTAAAAATTTATGTGTATGGGTTTGTACCTGAAGATATGTATATGCACCACGTGTGTAGGAGTCTGCTGAAGCCAGAAAAGTATGTAGAATACCTTGGAACTGGCATTTTAGGCAGTTGTGAGACACAGTGTTAATGCTGGGAATCAAACCTAGATCCTCTTCAAGAGCAGTAAGTGCTCTTAACTGCTGGGCCATCTCTCCAGTCTCATGATTTTAAAATTTAATTACAATATAATTATATAATTTCTCTCCTCCAATCTTTCCCATCTTCAATATCCCCCAGAATTCACAGCCTTCTGTTCCTTAACCATTGTTATATATATATATATAGTATGTAACAATACATGTTACATGTAAACAAATACATGTAAATAAATTGACATATAAATACGACCTGCTGAGTCTGTTTAGTTTTGCCTCCATGTATATGTTTCTAGGCCTAGCCCATAATTTTTATTTGTAGGTACACTAGTAATATACCCATTAGGGAGAGAATGGTTATAGTTGCACATGTAGGTCTGTATCCCAAAGATCTAAATGGACAAATGTCTCAATTTTGGTACTTGTTTTTGAAGCCACTACTGTAGTTTACTGGATTCCTTTTGGGGAACTAGATAGCCTGGAATAATTTTGTTCATGGTAGTGTAGAGAGAGTTAAGCTTTAGTTTCTGAGGACTTTGGCTCAAAGTTTCTCTTCCTCCTCTTCCTCCTCCTCCTCTTCCTCCTCCTCCTTATCCTCATCCTTCTTGTCCTGAGTTCTCTTCCTTATCCTTATCCTTGTAGTCCTCCTCGTCATCATCCTCTTCCTCTTGTTCTCCCTCTTCTTCCTTTTTCTCCTCCTCTTTCTCCTCTTCTTGACTATGGTTGCTTCCTTTTAAGTGGGTATTTATTAGTGAATAAATGATACATCTGTTTTCATTGCTACAAGAAGGCTCAAATTGTAAAGAACACAAGTTACCATGGTTCTTGATTTTTATTACTAAGAAAAGTAACATGGAATATCAAGACATCTCCATTAAGTCCACAAAGACTAGCAACTCCAGGTAGTCTATCTATGCTCTGCCCTCAGTATTAAATATCTTTTCTTCTTCAGGTTCCATCTCTGAGCTTACCTGGGAAGATGAGGCTCTTCTACCATAAGGCAAAGGTGCAAAATTCAGTATAGTTAATAGCTAGCATTATGAATAACAAGAAACTAAGAGAAAAGATGCATCAAATTTGCTGGATTGTAGGTTTAGTAGAACTTCTCTTGCTTAATCATATTTTTAAATTGCTCTAAATTGAACATATATAACTTACATATAATAAAAACTTATACATAAGTATATATTTATACATATATAAATGGAATGGAGCAGGTTGGTGCAGACTTCCTACTTCAATGCTACTTAGATAAGTGTAAGAGTCAGAGATCATCACTGCTCTAAATAGTACTGAATATTAAAGTAGTAGCAATATGAGGCGAGGCCTTTGGCTAGCATGTTAACTGAGGAGTGGGTCAGGCAGTCTGCATTGGAGCAAAATGCTTATTGATCCCATATGTTCTGTCTGTGCAAGAAACATGGCCTGGTTCAATTAAGTTATTCACAGCTCTTAATGCTTTGGTGTTAGTTACTCTCCAATTGAAATGAGGTTCCATTTGGTCTTTCCAAAGTCTAGAGCCTACTTGACCAAGAATAATAAGATACACAGTTTGAGTCAACTTTAAATAAATCATTTTCTCAGTTAGGTAGGAATTTGTGTGCCAGTATCCTGGCTCTTAGCATCAATCCTTTATTAAAATCTTAAAATGATCTTTTATCATTTTATTATTTCCCTAGGGAAATAACCATAGCTCTTGAGATGTTTTCCTTCAGGCTAAGCCAGAAAGAACAGTAGGATACTTAATAATAGATTGTTCTGAAGCTCAGCATCCCAACAGGCCTTGTAAGGAAGCTCTCTGCTTCCCTATATGAACACATGGGCAGACAGATGTGGAACAAGATATTTCATTCTCAGAATCATTTTCTCTGACATTAACAGAGATTAACAATTGGGGATTTGGTTTCTGCTATCTGTTTTTTCCCCAATAATATTTTCTCCTATATAATACATAATATCCAACACCCATTGCTAAGGTTCCTCATCCAGCTAAGCTAGGGGAAAGTACTAGAATGTGTAGAGAGTGGCTGTCAAGGCAATCGATACATTTTCTTCTTATGTCTCTAATTTCTCAACTCTCTTCTTTTATTCTTCAAGAAACACAGCAGCAGAGTCACCTGTCCATATGGGTGAATCTACTGAGTATCTAGTTCTGGGGCAAGCATTTAGTCACATTTTAATTTATCCAGTTATAACTGGAAGTGAAGTATTCCAGAATTGATTGCAGTCTATAACTTGCTGAGTTCTGGCGCTGATGATTGATTCACTATTCTATCAGTTACTTAATTAGAATGAATTATTCATAGTATTTCTTGATGAATGACCTAATTATTATGCTAATCATAATGAGCTAAGTCTTCAATGTTTTCTAAAGCACATTCTGCCTAATGGGGTTACTAAATATGTGTGTAATTATGATCTTAGAAAAATGTGGAAGGGGGCTTTGACAGGCATTTTTATTTATACTTAGACATTGAAAAACATCAAGTGTGAGAAGATGCTTTGAGCTTACTTATTTTCTTCAATGTCCTTTTCTTTTGCTAATATAAAATTGTGAACCAAAGTAATAAATAAAATGGCAACTAACTTAGTAAAAATAAGGAGTGAAACAGATTTTCATATCCTGCCTCTCTTTTTTGGTGTTTTGGCTGTGACATGCAATTTTTCCTTTAGGAAGGCAGAGGGGTGAAATGGTGGGTATTTGATGTTATGTCGTTAACCTTAATTATTCATGGGAGGGGTAATTGTGTTGGGGGCAGATGATCTGTCTATGCCAGGAACATCTCTTCCTTGCTTCCCTACTTTGTTTAAAGTCTCTGACCCAAATTATACTTGGATGTATTTGTCTTACTTCATGGTATATTTAACATGTAAAGTTTTAGGGATTTTAATTATTCTCAGTAATAATAACTACATTAATCATCAACTCTGAAGGATAGCAAAAACTTGAACATCAGAAACAAGATCAAGGAACTAGGAAGTGAAATTTAGTTAGTGTTAGACCAAACAATTACAATTAAATCATGGGCTCGTCTCTACAATAAAGAGCATGTTAGAATTGAAATATATATTGTGCTCAGTTATGTGGAAGTTTAGTCATGATGCTTTTTTTTTTTTTTTGAGACTTGAATGCAGTAACTTATGGCTTTTCACAAACGATTAAGGTAAGTCTTTAGAAATAAGACTGGTCCCATTTTGCTCATAACTGATTCATCTTTGTGCCCACAGATACAGATGATAAAAATGAACATTTTTATAAGTTTTTTTCCTTGTGGATTCTGATTTACCCAACACCCCAAATAACCTTCAAACCACTGATTTTCATGTCAATATCTGGAGCCCAATCATAGTGTCATTCCCAGGCCACCACTTGTGGCAGACATTCTGGGACTTTGGAGCATTATGGATTGTTCTCTTCTTCTTCATAGTCATTTTGAAACATCTGTGACCCAGGTGTGACAGGAAGCAGATGTCATACTATCTGATTAAAAGGTTTTCCTTCTCTTTTTCTGTATTTGCTGAGATTGTACACATATAGAAAATTATATATATATATATCTCACATATATAAAACCCAGGATTGAATATAGTCTGTACACATAACCACAGACTGAACCCAGGACTTTGCCCATGCTGAGCAAGTACTCTATCACTGCAACCTCAAAACTACTGTCACCCTGGCCCTTGTTGTTGTTTTAGATAAGAACTCACTAGGTAGTCTTGAATGGCCTGGAGTTCACTATATGTGACAAAATCCTGCCTTAGCCTCTTGAGTGCTGGGATTACAGCCATGTACACCATGATCAGCTCAGAATACATGGAACACGAATCTTAAAAGGTCTTATTAATAAAAACAAACCTGGAGCTGGGTATTGGGGCGAATGCTGGAAGATCAGAGAAGCAGAACAAGCCACAGCTTCCTCACCTCGCCAATTCCTCAGCTGATCCTGTTTCCTCAGACTGGAAGCCTCTGTGTCCTCATCCAAATGAATTTCAGCTGAACTGCTGCTCAAAAGCCTGAAAGCTTAACCAGCTCTAATTCCTGGTTTTCACACCTTAAATACCTTTCTGCTTTCTGCCATCACTTCCTGGGATTAAAGGCGTGTGTCACCATGTTTGGCTGTTTCCAGTGTGGCTCTGAACTCACAGAGATCTGGATGGATCTCTGCCTTTGGAATGCTAGGATTAAAGGTGTGTGTGCCACTATTTTCTGGCCTAATATATCTAGTGGCTGTTCTGTTCTCTGACCCCAGATAAGTTTATTAGGGTGCACAATATTTTGGGAAACACAATATCACCACAAATACATCTTATGCTTCTTTGCTTTTGCTTTTCTTTGGGTACTGGAGCCTTCTAGACACTTGGTGGATGTTCTATTTCTGGGCTGCACCCTTAAATCATGACTCCCTGTGAAAGGACTCAGTACCCTCTGCTCGTTGATAGTTTCAGGTTGCATGGTGGGAGGAGTCATAGGAAATATTTGTCAGAAGAAAACTTCCCACTAATTAGCCTTTGGTTTAAAATTTGCAATATAGTGAGTTCTAAGTAGAGAACAAATTTCCACTGATAGCTTCTGGTGGGCCATTTTTGTCTGACCCTGGTTGCCTTTTTCCATTGTACTCCATAAAGAATAAGGACTATAATGACAATTCCTTCTAAGATTTCCCTTTATGGCACAGACTTGACTTTGGCTCTGCTTGGAGCAAGTGACATGATATAGATATGCATCTTCCTCGGCAACTGGGCTTTCTCTAGTTTCTTGCTTTTACTTGGTTATGGTAGAAGGATGGAGTGGGAAAGGCAGTTGTGGCTTTCATTCACTGCCCAGCCGTGATGGCTTTTTCTAAGGCTTCTTTTTCTCTTAATGCTAGCCTATACTCAATATCTTTCTGTATTCATTTGGTCACCAAATACTACTCTTCACAGGATGCACACGATTATTTTGGAAAGACTTTAGGATGACACTGCACTGCTTATATATGCACTCTCCATAGTGTGTATGGAGGGACCAAAGACTGGGGACTGAATTCATGGCCATCTTGGTGTTTGATGAAAGAATGAGATATCATCTCCAGGTACTGCTACTGTTTATTTACTTTCATGTCACCAGGCATGGTGACACTTTTAAGGTAGTAAAGAGAAAGAGATATCAGGAAAACAATATCTTAGGTTGTAAACCACCAGTTCAGAGACATGAGGGAAAGAAATCAGAGATTCTGGCTTCCCAGTTTGGCCAGATAGCCTTTTTTTTTTCTTTTTTCTCATGTGTGTAAAGTCCTGGGTTCATTTACTTTCTTCTCAGCAGGGATACTTGACCAGATGTGCCTATTACAACAGTAACGGACCAGGTTCTGATTATCTCAGAACAATGTGGGACAGAGATGAGAGTCACTTAAATTTCCCCTCTCTCTTGCAGTAATCAATCATCCACCCCGCCCCCCAATCCAGTTAGTTTTGGGACCTTGGGATTTTCCTGACTCTTTGTCTTGTGTTTGTTTGGCCCTGAAACCCATACCCTCCTCCTCTTCTGTATTCTTCTAGGACTAGGTCAAGGAATGCTGCAGCCTGTACTGTTTCACCATCTGTTCTGGAGCTGGGAGACTGTCACTGTGCTGTCTGTTTTGGAAAATGCTGACTTGGCTCAGTGGTAAAGCTATGCTCTGGGAGAGTTAGACCCAGAGGAGGACTTCCTGGGTCTGCCACCTTCCTGATGTTCATTGTTCTGCTGGGATTTGATGGGGGACTGGTCTTATGGTTAACTCTTGCCAAATGGAAAATTAAAAGGAAAGGATATTTTCATGCTGCATTAGGAAGTGGGATATGTTGGTACTTTTACTTGAGAGAGGATCCAAAGTGTTTTGGGTTGTCCAGGGCTCCCACCACATTTTGATGAAAAAAAAAAAAAAAAAAGGCTGACACTTCAAAGACTTTTGCCATTCTTAGAAGTTGAACCTAGTAATTCTTTGGCCTGACTCAAATATATCCAGTAAGCTACTGTGTATTATAATATCAATTATATAAGTAAATATTACAGTAATCAGCCATTAAACTACATGAAAATATCTGTCTGAAGGTTGTTATTCTGCTTTGTTTCATCTAGGCATGAGGAATATAAAATATTGGCCAGAATGACCATGGGCAGTTGTCAAATGAATTCAATACATTATCTTAGAGGGTAGTAGATCTTGAGGTATGTATGGAAGGGTAAAATGGCATGTAAAATATGTTTGCTTCACCTGTCCTAATCACGCTCAGTCGCAAATATTGGGGCCTTCTCTTTCATGTCACTACCATTCTTCAAGTGTGGCAAGCTATACTCCATGTTTAGAAGGGATCATAGCTGTAAGAGGGTGTGTCCATTCATACATTCAGAGAAACTGAGGCAGTTCAGAATAGTGTTAATAAAGTCTCAATGACATATAGATACCATAATGGGTAGCTTAACACAATAACTAATTGACTATGGTTATCAGTGAAAAACCTCACCAGATATCAAAAGAATAGCCAATATGGTTCTTCAACAAAGATGACATTAGAATATTCTCCTAATTGTACTGATTTAATAATACATCAAGGCTTACTGAGAATTTGATATGTTTTCTGGGCTTAAGGAATACTATAATAAAGAAGATAAAGTTATCTCATTATTAAAGAGTAGGCTAAAATGAGTAAAGTGTTAAGTTATAATAACTTTTGAAGGATAATAAAATAATAAAATAGGATTGGTGGTGGAGAAGTGACTGGGAGGGATTTTAGCTTAAATAATTAAGAAAAATTAATGTTGTAAAAATGACATTTAAGGTGGTACCAGAATTCCAGCTGGAAGCAGACTGTTCCAGGCAGATGGAGGAATGAGACTAAAGTCATAGTCAGTTGAGGAGAGAAACATGGTCAGTGAACAAGGTGATGAAAATGGAAAGTGGCATGAACTATGTGCCAAGTAGGCTGGAGCCGGCTCTGTCAGCACCCGTGGACACAGCAAGGAGCTTGGTAAAGAGGCTATGAGAAACACCCCCCACCCCAGAACATCAGTCTTATCATCTACCCTTTAAAAATAAACTTAAAATATGATCCTTATTTTTTTTCACTGTAACACCAACACTTTTCTTTCTCAAAGACCCATCTCAAGAAATTACTATTCTTTCTGCTGGTCATTTCTAGAAACAGGAAAATGATGAGATCAAAACAAACAAACAAAACAACAAACAAACAAAAACCACTTAGGATGCTGACAGAGATGTACAGACTAGATTGTGAGCGGAGAAACTGAGATCTCATCTAGAGACTGTTACGGCCAAAGGAGAACGTGAATGGGGCTGTGGTGTCGGCCACAGTGCTGACAAACAGACACAATTGAGGGACATTCTGAGCGGTCAGTCCACGTAACTCCTACTGCATTGGATATGAGAAAAGAAAGTAAAGAAAGACATGAAGGGAGGAGGAAGGGAGGGTGGCTTGTAGGTTGTGGACCAAATAGAGGAATGAAGGGACCAGACCGAGGTAAGAAAAGACTGGTGTAAGCGAAGAAATGGAAGTGTGATATGTGATGTGTGTTAAATATGCAAATGAAGGTGTCAGGGAAGTTATGGATACATAAATCTGGACTCACTGAGTTGAAACCCCCCTCATACATATCCTATTTAAATCAATGTGAATGAATTGTATGGTCTAAGAGGATACAGTAGACAAGTTGCAGAAGGCTGGCACCAAACCCTAAGAAGCGGAAAGATGAGGGGAATCTGAAAGAATTTGAAGAGAAGAAACAGAAAGAAAAATCCCAGGAAGGGAGATAAATCAGAAGAATTCTGACTGGATGTCAAAGAGGAAAGCATTTTAAGAAGGCAGTAGTTGGCCATGCAAAACTTCTGAGAAGTTATATAAATAAAGGCCCCAAAGTAACTCTTGGCCTTGGCAAGATGAAAAACAGTATTTACCTTGACCAAAGGAAGTAGAGGAAAAGATGCTCATTGAGAAAGAGAGGTTAGTTCCATAGAGAAATCTTAGGAGATGGCTTCTGTAAAAGGCATGCCAGTTTAAAGGAAGAGTTCTGTCTGTGTTTTGTTTTAAAGCCAGAGACTACCAGAACAAGCTAGTCACAGATCCAAGAGAAAGGCAAGTAATCATTTTGTCCTCTGTCTGTCTGTCTGTCTGTCTGTCTGTCTGTCTCCCTCTCTCAGAGGGTCATCTTAGAATAGAAGATGGAAAGATTGTAAGAGCCAGAGGCTATGGAAGAGTGCTGTAACATAATGCCTTCAGGACCTGACAGGGCTTTTCTACCCAGGAACTTGTGATGGCTCTGGCTTCTTGAACAGGGGAGGTGGGTGTTGGCCATTTTCTGATGGGAAGAAATAAACGGAAGAGTCAGTTCAATTTCTGACTGTGATCATTGGTGGAAAGAGTGGAAATGAGAGCAGAGGAGGCCTGGGACTGTATACAGTGGAGTCTAGTCTTCTCAAAGCAAGGGGAACATGTTGTGGAAAAGTAGGGTGGGGTCTGGGGGGTGGGGTAAGCACAGCAAGTTTCAAGAAGAGGGCTCTAAGTGAAACTAAATGTGCCTAAAGTTTTTGACATACAAGAGAGAACACGCAAAAGTAGTCAGCAGTATGGGCAAAGTTGGAGGAACTAATGCTTGGCTGGGGGCAGGAACTTTGAATGGAAGCTGTAGAGACTGAAGTCATCATGGAGTGGATTGAAATAGGAGTGGGAATTGGAAAACCAGCCATGTGGAAAATTATTAGAAGATTTTTTTTATCAACTAAAGAGGGAAAAGACAATTAGCTAGAAGATGTGAAATCAGAGGTGCCTTTGTAAGAGAAGGCAGATAAGAAAGTACTACTGTTAAATGCGGCTAGAAAATGAAACACCAACGGAAAAAGTTTGACGACACAGAGGATGGAATACCACATTCCCCTAAGGGCTCTGGTGTATATAGCATTTTGGCTGTTACTAGAGAGAATGACATTTTCCTTACTGCAACACATACTACTAATATTATTGATGATGGTACTGATGACAGCTAGCATTTACTGAAGTCACTGTGTGCCAAGTCTCTCAAATGGCTTATCCTATTTAACCTCCTCACTGGATCCCTACCATCCATCAGCATAACACCCTCCATTGATTTCCCTGCTGTGCCTGAATAATAGTCTGACTTCTAATTAATCCTGGGCTCTTGTTCTCCTTTCCTTATTATTCCCCGTGGAGATATGAGAAAAGCGGGATAGATGAATTCAAGTGGAAGAGTTTCGAGCAACAGAACTCACTCCAGAATTCCCACTGAGAAGTCTTACACAGCTCCTAAACTGAGTACATAAATAGAAAAGGGAATTGTTTAATGAGTCCCCCAAAGAACTCCTTGCTATTGTGTTAAAGGTTCAGGTCTGGCTTGATTGTAATGGAGGTGACCTCAAGTGGTGGAACATTCCACGGTTCCATGTCCTTGCCTATCCTGAACTGATGACTGCTTTTCCTTCATCTTTGGTTCTTTTATTGATTATCTATTTATAATTTTGGGGAAATTTTATAGATTATAGACCCCAGGCAGCTGGTCTGGTTCGGATGGTATGGGCTGACCTTTGGGTTGGATTGAGGAGCTAGGGATGCCTAAATTTGAACTAGATTTTCTCCTTAAGTGATGTTTTCTAGATCTGAAGGAATCTAGAAATGTGTTACCTAATCTGAGCCCTGGTCTTCCTTTCCAAACCAGCCATTGTTAGTTTTCAGGAGCTAAAGGTAGATTCTCAATAAAGGCTTCTGATTAACAGAGGAAAAAAAACAAGCAAGCAAGCAAGCAAGCAAACAAACAAACAAAATCACTGGCTTGCCTGGCCTCAGTCCTTCTGTTTACAGTTAGAACTCTATTCTAAACTATCATGGTGGCTCTGTTTGAACCAGCAGGCAGTTTCTGATCATGGTAGCAACATCACACACACCACAACCTGACCTACTGAGGTGTTTGCTTTTTAATCATTTTGTTAGCAGTCTCCCAACACCTACATTTCTGTCTCAGAGAGGAGCATCATGGGAGAGAAGATAGACAAACTGTGAGCCAGAGGAAAGGGAGGAATGCTGTAAAATGATGTCTCCTGGATCTTACAGGGCTGTTGTATCCATCAATTCATGACAGCTATGTCTGTTTAAACAGAGAGGAGGCAGGGAGGCAGGGGGGAGGAGGCTAGCATTTTCTGATGAGAATAGAAGGAAGAAATAAAGAATTATTGGAAGTTGTGTTTGGTCTAGGCAGGTAGATTTATTGTACTGTCTTTTCATCTCACAGTTGTACCTCAAATAATTTGGTTCCTTTCTTTAGTTTTCAGGATGATTGCACACCCATAAGTTTTCCTTCTATCTGTCTTGGCTGCCCCTTTGGTCAAGAATAAGAGTTCTTATGTCAAGGTGAGTGAGGAGGAGACAGGGAGGAGTCCAGAGAGAGTGCAAGAAAATCAGAGCTGTGTTGTGCAGTTTGTCTCCACATACACACACATTCCTTTAATGCCAACAAAATGAAAGTAAGAAGAAGAAAAAAAAAAAACCAAATCAATGAACCAACACAACAACCAAGGAAGAAGAAAAGACAGGAGGAATTAAAAAAAGAAAGCATGCTTTAGAGCAGACTCATAAATAACAAGTGTGGCTTGATTGCTTAGAATGCACAAGTGTGAGTCCCCAACATCCTTTAGAACTTGCCCCTTTGATAAATCCTAGCTTTTCCATAGCCCTGACACCATTAATAGGCCAACTGTAGTTGTGATATTTGTCCTGAGTTCCTTGAAGGCAACTCTAAGAGATTAAAGGTCTGGTAAAATGGGAAGTATATTTGAAGCCTATATGGTGGATG